ATATGAGAAATTGATGTGGGTACTCAAATGAAAGGTTTCGATGAGTGTAACATCGGGATGCGCTTATATGTTTAAAAATGTCAATATTTCACAAGATAAAAGGTCATTTCTTAATTATGTATCTAGAGATAGAGAATTTTCGAATGCAGCCTAAATACTTATCATAATAAATTGACTATTGTTGAAATTGATATGGAGCCTTGAAAAGGCACAACTCCAGGTCAAGACTTTTTCAACGATACCAAATTTAACCATAAAAACCCATTTTATCCTATAAATACACTGTTTACAAAATTTTGGTTATTCTCTTAATAATATGGTTTAAAGCCAGTGAAATTAAATTATAGATGCAATTTATTCAGCGTTGATGAAAAATTAAATGATAATGATAGCGGAAAATAAATAGAAAGATTAAAGAGAATGGGAAATTAGAAAAAGTTTGGGTTTAATGTGTGTGCGTGGGAAAAAGGGTAATATAAAGAAAACGAAGGCATACATAGAATAGCATAAGCGTAGCCAAGAGTTGAGTTGAGTTGAGTTAGTGAGTGGGTTTAGAGTTTGAGTGAGGAAAAAGGGAGTTGAGTTGAGTGTGTAAAGGGTGAACATGAGCATAAAGCTAGTGTGGAGGCACATTAAAGCACACTGGTGCTCAAACTGGGTCACGCTTTTTTAGTTTAAAACCCCGAGCTAACCCCGTGCCGAGTCGAGCACTAAAATCCATTGATTCATTTTTAAAACCACTCTTTTTACAGATATATTTTTTACTTTATTTCTGCTTGATAAATTAAGAGTTTCGTTCGTTACCGCATGCGCTCTTACAGTTTCTTCGCTTTTTAGGGGTGAGTTTAATCTACAAGGGTAAATTATCCACCTTCTATGTATGATCTTACATAAATTACCATGTTTGTTATTAAACAATGTAGAGCAGGTATTTTTTAGAGGGTGGTTAAATTAAAATTTTTATTATAATAATTTTTAAGTATTAAATAAAATTTTTTATTTTTTAAAATTATTTTTTTATTAATTTTTCATTTAAAAATTCAAAGTTGATTTAAAATTTAAATTTGTTAAAAAAAATTTAATCTATTTATTCGTTAAAAAAATTTTAATAACAATAATTTATTTATAATTATTTCATAAATATTTTGTATATAAAATGATAATAAAAAAATTTTTTTAGAATATTTTATGAAAAAATTTCTAATTTAAATAAAATTAATTTAATAGAAATTATCATTCAATTTTTACAATTATACTCTACAATATTTAAAAGAAAATTGAGTAAAGTACAGAGTATAAAATATCTTAAAAAAAAAAATTTATTTTATTAAAAATAAAAATATGAATCCAAAATTTTTGTATTAATTTATTTATTTATTAAAAAAAAAATAGATTAATTATTAAAATTATCTATAAATTTCTTTTTTAATTAAATTAACGTTCCTTATTTAATTTTTAAATCCAAACTTTAATTATTCAATTAAAAATATATATTTAACAATAAATAAAAAAATTTTTTGAAGTAATAAAAAACATTTAATAAGCGCAAATAATCTCCGGTGAAAAAAAAAAAAATAATAAACATAAAGATAAAAGAGAATTTAAGAATCGAAAAAATTTTCGGAGATATTTACTTCCAGCAGAGCTGGAATACGCTGGTGGTAAATGAAAAGTCGTTAGCTCGGGGCGGAATCTTTGCGTCGGGAATTTACACGGACTGAGTAAACATTAGAGCGAGCCTTTGCCTTTGACTTTACTCTTTTCGCTGAACTCTGTTTTGAGAATAGGAGATCGAGGTCGAAAGACGGAATGAGAAAGATACATATCCAGGTGAAGCTGTGGAAGAAAAATACCTCTATCTATATGTTTAATTTAGCAAAAAGGATAGGAGCGAAGAAGGAAGTATTCTTCACCTGGTTACCGTCTTCATCTTGCCAGTTTTTATCTTTTTATTTCCCTGGCCATTTCTCTTCAACCACTCGTCCTCTTCACCAGTCAACGGTTAGATCGAGGCTAGAGGGCACGTCGGAGCGAAAGAATAACCAGACAACTCCGCTGGGAAGTATTTTCCTTGTATTCTTAAGAAAAATAATAGTCACGAGCTTTTTCCGCCCTTTTTCCCACGCGTGTCTATGTGCAAGGAGAAAAGTATATGGAGTAATGTAGATGTATGGATTTATAGACACAGATGTGTACTAGCTGCTAAGAGTTGGCAAACAA